CTACAATTGGATATACTATACTTTGTCAAGTTTCAAGTTGCTTGGAGAAGAGGGTTGGGGGCTTGGTAATTGAGTCAGCTAAAAATGAAAGCCTCTGGGACACAAGACTTTCAGGCACCACCCAGGAAATTTCATGTTGGGCAGTGGGATCTGAATCTTCCCATATAAGACAGTAGTCTATTCCAGTGTTTCTCACTCTATGGCAGTTTCCGGAGACTCAGACCATTTTCCTGGGAAGTTCAATCATAAAACAAAACACTAAATGCCTTCCTTTTTTTTTTTTTTTAATATTTTTATTTATTTCTAGGAGAGAGAGAGAGACAGTGTGAGCAGGGGAGGGTCAGAGAGAGAGGGAGTCACAGACTGAAACAGGCTCCAGGCTCTGAGCTGGCAGTCAGCACAGAGCTCGACGCGGGGCTCGAACCCACGAACCGCGAGATCATGACCTAAGCGAAAGTCGGATGCTTAACCGACTAAGCCACCCAGGCGCCCCGACTAAATGCCTCCTTTTGAGTTGTATTGGAATCCAGGAGGTTATAATAGTTTTTTGGGGTGAGGAGGACTCTCCATTCTACTCAACTCTGAGTCCCAGGTCTCTTGAGATTCTCTGGACCACTGTGTGTCACAGAAAGAAAGAAGTAGAGTGAAGATGATGGGGATGATACCATTTTCTTAAATAAGTGAAAAGTCCCTCCCCCTCAAATTGCCAAGTTGAGGAGGTAAGCAGATGAACCTTCGAACAGGATTGGATGTAGTTATCCTAGAAAGTAGGAAACAAGTGATCACTGTATTGAATTTGTTTTATGACAAGCGTCTGAGCCACTTCCCACTTTAGAGATTAGCTATGCTGAAATGATGTTTGGTCTTTACACTTGTTGATATATTCTTATCTTTCTGATGGAATTATTTGACAGGACCAGTGATGAGTATTGAACTGGGTTGATTTTGCTACCTTTTTATCACTCAGAGATGATGACTAGAGCATTCCAATCAGCTAGCCCTTTTTGCTTCTGGTAAATACTGGATAGCTAGAAGGTCTCTTTACTTACTCTCTGTATGTCTGTGCCTATTGAAAGATAACTTCTGAGCAGATGTACAAGCCTTCAGCTTTCATTTTCCTGCCTGGGGTTGTACACATGGGACAATTTTTTACAAGTGTAAAATAACCATGAAGTTAAGTAAGAATTATAGAGAACATTCCAAGATATTTGTCAAATTGTGAGGTATGAATCTACCAGAAAAATTTAGGATAGATTTAAGTGATATTCTATTTTCCTTGACAGATCCATAAAGACAGCATTGGTCAAAACCATAAATAATTCATGGTACACTAAGGAATTATATTTTTGGAATCATATCTAAATCCCAAAAGTATTAATCACTCATAGTGGTGGTGCAAAAGACATTGTCAAGATACACATGTGTGGTGTCTACTATACTCTTAATAACATCAAAAATTGGATAAGTATACTATCTCAGGATTCTAAAAATGGACTATATTCTAGGATGATACCGATTTTCACTATTGGATTTGTATGTTATTATCAAATGTATGTACTTGTAGGAATATAGATTAAAGCTGTCAACATATACCACCTGAGTTGTATCAATGTGAAAGTGTGAGAGAGAGCCCTGAACTGCCAGGTGTTAAGGTGGTCAATTAAGATAATAAAACAAACTAAAAGTAACAATCAAGCCTTTATTCACTCTGCAAAAATGCAAGCAAGAAACCAAAAGAGAAGGTACTGGCTTCTTCAATGTTCCATTTTACCCCCACAGATCTAAGGGTTTGCTGTATCAGTGCAGGTGGGGAGGGCAGGGAACTGAGTCCTTGGCTGAGTTTTTGGCTGAGTCTCATTTAAGATCACAGAGGTGAACTGTCACATGTCTCTCATTGTTTTGCAAGCCATCTCATGGTTCTTCATAGGATGGTCATGGAAGGGCTTCCTCATCAGAGCAAGAGATGATGTCCCAGCGAACAGTAGTGCTTTTTGAGATTTTGCTCAGATCATGTTTAGTCATTGACCAAATCTCTTTTTGTGGCATTTCAAACTTAGGAGGCAGAGAAAAAAATCATACCTTTTGATAGGAGAGGAAAGACTACAGGCATTTTTTGGTTAATCTATCAAAAAGTAAACAGGCCACTTGTAGAAGGAAAAGGAAGGTCAGATATAAAATCATTTGACCCGGATAAGAAAAAAAAAAAAAAAAAGATACAGAGAGAAGTTAATAAGCATGCTTGATTGTTACCAGCAAAGAAGTGAGTTTATTTAAAACCAATGCCTACAGCTATGTCTTGGGGTGCCTGGATGGCTCAGTCAGTTAAGCATCTGACTATTGATGTCAGGTCAGATAATGAGCTCATGGTCATGAGATCAAGTTCTGCCCTGAGCATGGAGCCTGTTTAAAATTCTCTGTCTCTCTCTTCCTCTGCTTCTCCCCTGCCTGTGCTTGCTCTGTCTCTCTCTCTCTCAAATTATAAAATAAAAAAGAGAAAAAAAAGACTATGTTTTATCACTCCGAGTGAACATAATTTTGTTTATGCAGAAGGAAAAAAATCAGCATTGTCTTCACTGTCAGGTAAGTGCCTTCTCTTAAGAATTACCTATGTATATTTTGAGTTCATGAAGCAATAGAAGATAAAGTCCTGAGACTTTGCTAAGCAACCTGATTTTAAAGTTCAAGAGCCTAACAGGAGTCTGTACTGTTTTTTAAAAACCCAGGGCAAATATAAACCACTAAAAGCTTAGGTATTTATTACTAATCCCTAAACACAGTGGAGGTAAGGAAGTGACAATTATAATAACAGCTCTTGGGTTTGGTTGATCGTGGCTGAAATACAATTTTATATATTCTTTGTAGAATCATTAGATAAACTAAAAAAATTAGGAAGATTACGTACTATGAATAACAATCGTTCTGATTTCTCACTCTTTGAAAAATCTGAATAAGAAACACTGAACACTTGGAGTACTATTGTTTTAGGTATAGCATCTTGCTGTTTACCCATGCCTTTTATAAACATCAATTACCAGTACATTGCAGCGGATATGATAACTGAAATACTCTTTCTTCTTTAGAAATGAGTTCAGCATTTTCCTATACATATAGTCATTTCTATTCATAAAATTTGCATATTTTGTCACAAAATTATTAGATTTAAATTAGATGACACAAGAGACTAGAGCTAGAAGGCACTGATATTGTATGCCAAGTATGCTTTGTGCTTTTGCTTTCCTCCATACGATAAGATGGTATTTCTCCACCGCTTTGCATTTCATCGTGGCCATTTGAATTGCTCTGCCAAGTGAATATGAGCAGAAATGATATGTCTCTTCTTGGCTCACAGTGGAATAAGGAAGGAATGGGCTACCATGTTTTCTTCCCATCATGTGGAAGCACCACTGAGATGAAACCTCTTGTATTCTGGTTACATGAGTGAGTTTGGTGATCAAAGATGCTTGCTCTCCTCACTTATCCCCCCCATGCCAATTTAGTTAGACATTTACTATGCTAGAGGAATAAATTTTCTGGATTAAGTCTCTGGGATTTGGGAGTGGCTTGTTACCACAGTGACCTCACTTTGACTAAAACAGACATTGACATCTAGAAGTCAGGTATTGCCAGAACACAACAACATAACAGCAGTTGGCTAAGAAACTCTTTTGAAGTCTTGAACAGTGGCCACCAATATATTTCAGTGGCATTTGTATTTGGTAAAATCGTCACTGGTGATCACTAGGAAAGCAGATAAAATACGCAATAAACTTGGCAAACTTGTGGAATAAGACTGGAAAATAGGAAATTATTACTGTGAGTTTGTTTCTGTGCTTGGCAGGATAATACAAGAAAGTGTTAAGTGCTCACAGTAATTGGGTTATTTGCAAGCAGAGTTGAATAGACTAGAAGGTATACATACACTTTAGGGATTATAGAGCAAGAAGCAGCAAGTACTACTTACAAAAACCAGTAAAATATAAAATGGAATCATTTTTGGAGCAACTGATTCATAAAGCAGGAATTAATAATTTGACATTTACACCCATTGATAAAATGCCTGTATTGACTATGGTGGCATACATTCAATTCTTCATCTGAAAAACATGGCTCTGAGGAAAGTCTTTGAAAGTGTGGCTCTCCCATAGATGTCCATAGAGCCCCAAAGTACCCCAAATTAAGTCCAATGATATAAAGAAATGATGCAAAAAGATACAGAATTCCTAGGATGTATTTCCAGTATTATCTAGGAGTGTGGCTATTGGCTTTGGGAGCAGATTGGGCAAAGTAGGGGCAGCTACTTGTCTTTTTTGTTCATGAGCATCCAACCACAGAAAGGCTACCTCAAGACATAATACAGAAGCCACTCTATATTTTACCAGATGTAGAGACACTTTCTTTTTTAAAATGTTTTATTTATTTTTCAGAGAGGGAGAGAGGGAGAAAGAAAGAGAGAGAGAGGGAGAGAGAGAGAAAGCACAAGCAGACGAGGGGCAGAGAGACAGAGGGAGATATAATCCAAAGCACATTCCAGGCTCTGAGCTGTCAGTTTATAACCCACTTGAGGGCTCCAACCCACCAACCATGAGATCATGACCTGAGCCGATTGAGCTACCCAGGCGTCCCCCAGACTCTTTATTTATCCAGACATTATAGACTCTAAGCTTGATGATCTGAGTGGATGGGAAGAATACCTCCAGGGAAAGCCTGAGTTAAATTTTAGGATCAATTAAAAAGTGACCATGTGACTTGACTTGCATGGCAACGAGGAAGTACCTCTATCCTGAGTCTACGATCTACTGTCTGACTTGCCTGTTCCTGCGCCCATTCTCCCATTCGGTCGTGGCAATGGGAAGGATCGAGGACTCACCTGGGTTTTTCTTACCGTTTATGCTTTTTCATCGCTGCAAAATAAACCTGCTTGAAGGCAAACTGCCTTGCACAAGGTCAGAGGCCATCTGAGATCCCAGACTGAGCCTTGTCTCTTAAAAGGATCACGCTTCATGTCGCCCAATTCGTATCTGCTTTTAATCCCGAACATTCCTGAAGCACTGTTTACACAGCAAGCTCAGCATCTGTTTCCCGCGACCGGGGACCTAAGCTTCGGCTCGGAGGGGCCGGGTGCGGCGGCCTCGGGCGCAGGAGGGCCTGACTCAGACCACAGGCTGTACGCGGGCGGGGCCCGGCACCTTCTAGAAGCAGGAGGTTACACACCAGGGGTCTCTGCCCAGTGTCCAGGAGAAGTCGGGTGGCCTCCCGCGTGACCGCGTGCAGAGAGCACAGAGAGGGCCCTCCCGACACTCCCCCACCCACGGCCGACCAGCAGGAGCCTGGGTGAGTGGGCCTCACCCTGCAGCCAGGCGCAGGGGGAAGAGGCCCGTCTCCCGCGCGGCGACCTGAGCCTCTCGGCCGCGTGGCCGAGCAGAGCGCGCACCTGGGCAGGTGAGAGGGCCGTAGCCACAGCCGCCTCTCGCGGCTGCCGCCCGCCTGAGCGCTGCTTCCGGTTCTCGGCCGGCGCCTGAGCGCTGCTTCCGGTTCTCGGCCGGCGCCTGAGCGCTGCTTCCGGTTCTCGGCCGGCGCCTGAGCGCTGCTTCCGGTTCTCGGCCGGCGCCTGAGCGCTGCTTCCGGTTCTCGGCCGGCGCCTGAGCGCTGCTTCCGGTTCTCGGCCGGCGCCCGCAGGCCTTCTGTGGCCTCGAGCACCCGAGCGCCGCCCGCCACCCTGGCTGCTTGGCCGTGTTGGGAGGCGGGGGGCGGGGCACCGACGGGCAGCTCCCGGAACATCTTCCGGAAGTGCTCCAGGAGCAGGTCCTCGTAGCCTCCGGGTCTGGACTCGCCCGGGCGGCGGCTCCTGAGCCTGCCGACGCTGACCTGGTCGCCCTGCTGTGGCCCGACTGGCTGCCCTGCGGGTGCCCTTCCTGGATGTTCTCGGGGACCAGGTAGACCCGTGGCGCGGGGCCCATTCTGGGTGCTCTCGTGGTGTTTTTATACGTGCAAACATGTATCACAAGTATAGTAACTACCAGAGGATGTAGCATAAATCGCGTTTATACCAACGCAGTATCTACATGTACGTATTATTTACCATATATGTGTAAATTCATATACATACACACATGTTATATAATACACATATTTTAAGTGTGTAATACATATTTTAACATATATAATGTGCGTGTTATATAATATATAATACATGCACAGTTTTGTATGTATGCATTATCTATATATAAAATGTTTCTATATATGTATACGTATAATTTTCAAGTTTATTTTTTAATTTATCTTGAAAGAAAGGGAGAGAGGGAGGAGGAAACAGAGACTTCCAAGCAGGCTCCTTGCTATCAGCAGAGCCCAACTTGGGGCTTGAAGTCACAAACTGTGAGATCATGACCTGAGCTGAAACCAAGAGCCCCACTCTTAAACAACTGAGCCACCCAGGTGACCTTATGTATACATATAATTATGTACAACCCAGGACCCTGACTTCTTCCATGATCAAAACGGAAACTTTTCCTGTGCTATCCCATGAGATTTGGGGCTGATTGTTACTACAGAATAACCTAGCTCACAATTTATTATTTGACAATATATTATTCACTATATATCATGTATCATTTATTATTTTTACTCTGTGCATCAGAGTAGCCTTAAGCAAATCTCAAATTCTCTAACCTTCCTTGTGCATATTCTAATTGAAGAAAATAATGCCTGTCCTTCCTGTGTGTATGAGAGAGTGCACGCGAAAATTCTTTTTACTTTTAATGCTTTAAAAATTATATCATTATAGAATAATTCATTGAGAAGGGTAAGAAAAGGAAAAAGTGAAATTTTACAAATTATCAAAATTTCAAAATTTCAAAATTGCCGTTGTAATTATTTAAGAACATTTCCCTAAACTTCATAATCTGAGTTTATAAAATTTCTGTCATAAATTCTCTATATCTGAGCATTATAAAACCAGCCTTTTTATTTGACAGAGACTACTAATGAGAAAAAAATGAAAGATAATGTTGCAAAATAACTATATATACAAATTTTCAGTTAAAGTCATATTTTAAAATAAATATTGGGATATACATCTATATACAATTATAAAAAACATTATTTAAATATGGGTACATAAATTTGAGTGCAGTATCATTGTATAAATATCTTCTAAAGATCATAGTAAGTTTTTTAACCAAATATACTGATAAGAAATGTTTATGTAATATTATAATATTCAGAGTTGTTCCCAGTACTAATCTCATAATCCTGGATATTGTGTGTAATATTATTCCTTATACATCTGACACATTCACCACTCAGGAGAAATTATTTTGAATCTGTGCAGAGAGATGCTTTCCTAGTTTGATTTATTATTTACTCAAATATATTCCTTAGGCGTTCTTTGTTTCATGTTGAAAACAAATAACAGAGAGTGTTCCCTGTTTTTGAACTCAAAACTTGCAATTCTAATGGGCAGATATCAATTTTTCAATAATTTTTAGAATTAATGTTAAATACACTTATATACATTATATATGTTAATCACATTTATAGCTAATACCATATATCTAATAATATATTTTCAAAAGTTCAGAAATGGAAGTAAAACCAATGATTCACTGAAATAGTAATTACTGAAAGTTTATTATGCACATGCCAAAAAGACAGTCTGCAAACCAGGAACACTCAAACTAAAACATGGAATAAGGCTCTGGGATAAATTGTCATAATGCAGCTTATGTAGTGAGAAGGCAGCAACTATTTCCTCTTGATAGTGATTGGCTATACTATTAGAATTTTCTTAAATGATAAGAAATTGGTCAGTGGTTACCTCATATCAACCTTGGGATACAGTTTAAGTTTTGCTTATGATTTCTAGAGGCATAAACAAGAAGTCTTGCAAAATAAGCTAGACTAAGCTTTATTTGTATGACTGAACTAATTTTGTCTGCTCAGGGAATTTTTGAGGCTGGTTTCTTTTTTATTTTAACTCTGTAAGTGTATTTATATTAATTAGCATGCGGTGAAGAAGCAAAGAAGCAGGTTTAAGTAAAGTGCTTCCAGCTACTCCTGGTAGTTTTAAATAGTTTACTTATTGAGAACATAATAAGTAAACAAAGAATGATGTAACAATTTTGAAACTTCTACTATTCTCTAGTCAGGTTTCAATTCTGTACATTGGAGTGCTGTGTGTCTACTGCACAATTTCCCCACAGTCCTATGCTTCAGGCAGGATTCTTCAAAACCATTAGTTCATTTATAGACCTGAAATTAGATGCCTAAGAAAAATATTTCTAAGAAGAAATACTCCTCTTGAAAGAATAGCAATGATATTTATCAAGGGTATGTCTATCAAGACCAATGTAATAAATGACTTAAAACTTAAATTCTATAGAAAGTTTCTGGAAGAAACTTTAGATGTCCCTCTGTTTCTTCTAGACATATGTAATATTTCTTTATGCTTTAAGCCTGATAAAACTAAGTAAAAAACTTAACGCTCAGGAAAAACAGGTCACACTTTCCACACTCCACTCAAATTTATAAATTTAGAATGTGTTAAAATTGAAAAGGAAAATATTTGCACAAATGTTGATCAGAGTAAGCCTTTAGTACCCAGTATATTTGGTTCCAAAAGGTGAAAATTTTAGACCCATTTCTATCTCCTTTCAACAGTTTTTTTTCCTTAGCAAATTGAATTGTTGACAGCTCTTTTTCAGAAGCTTTTAATAAGCACCCACTGAATCAGCTGTTTTTGGACGCCCAGTTGAAATAGAGTGTAATCAAGCTATTTTGCATCTGTGAATATCTTCTGGCATTTTTCATAGCTACTGTTCTTTGTTTGTCAAATAATCATTTCCTATAATAAGGGAGCAGGGTGTAAACATGTTTTTTAATAATTTCTCTATCTTTAGATATCTGATTTTTCATAGAATGAACGTGAAATTTTGATGAGTTTTGTAACTGCAATAGTGTGTTTCCACACTTGATCTTATCCAAAAGGCAGAGAAGCGATGCATAGTGTGTATCCAATTAGATATTTGATGAAAAGAAGGTGAAGCTTAACAGTGATTTATTGTAAAGTATTGACTTGATAATCTTTCTGGCACATTTTACTATCTCCCACATTTTCACCAAAGAGTATTTCATTCTGTAAAAGTACACTATTTTTCCACCTTACCTACAAAAGTTATGGATTCTCGTAAGTGTTACTGTATGGGTACTGTTCATACATCTCAAATATATATGTTTAAAATTTTTAACTTCATATATTATTTTCAGAAGAATTTAAGTCATTTTATGTAACTTCTGGCTTATAGAACTCTGATCAGCTTCTTATAAGAAATATGTTAGGGGTGCCTAGGTGGCTCAGATGGCATCTGACTCTTGATTTTGGCTCAAGTCATGATCTCATGGTTCATGAGTTTGAGCCCCGCATCTCGTTGGTCTCAGCGCTGATAGCATGGAGCCTGCTTGAGATTCTGTCTCCTCCTCTCTCTGTGTCCCCTGCCCCACCCCCTGCTTGCTCTTTGTATTTTCTCAAAATTAATAAAAGAGAAGCTTAAAAAAAGAAACATAAAAAATGAGATCTTATTTTTGTTATGGTATAAGCTGGCAGTTCAATTTCATTCATCTGCATATAGCTGTCTATGTTACCAACACCATTTATTGAAGAGACTGTCTTTTCCACACCTTCTATGCATGGGTTTATTACTGGGCTCTTTATTCCATTGATCTATGTGCCTATTTTTCTGCCAGTACCATAGTGTTTTGATTACTATAGCTTAGTAGTGTAGTTTGAAATCAGGGTATGTGATGCCTGCAGCTTCATTCTTCCTTCTCAAGATAGCTTAAGCTCTTCAGAGTCTTTTGTGTTTCACACAAATGCTAGAATTATTTTTTCTAGTTTTGTGAAAAATGCCATTTAGAATAAGCAATTCTATTTCTGGGTGTTTATCCATATAAAACAAAACACCAATTCAAAGAGATGTATGTACACCTATGTTTATTGCAGCATTATTTACAATAGCCAAGATCTGGAAGCAACCTAAGTATCTATCATAAGATGAATAAATAAAGAAGGTGTGGTGTGTGTGTGTGTGTGTGTGTGTGTGTGTGTAGAGAAAGAGCACACACTTATATACAATTGTTAAACTCAAATGATAGTATGTGTGATATGAACTTATACTGTGGACATGAAAAGCTACATAGAATATCGCTTCATTAACTCTACAGCAATGAGGAGGCAGTTTATTCTCTTTACCTTTTTCTGGTTGATAAATGTTCAAATTTATGTCATTTAGTATATTATAAATTAGTCTTTAGAGAAATTTATCTGAAATCTTATTCTTTAAAAAATCAAAATATATGCCATACAAAGGGAGAGATAACTGCTCAAAAATACCAAGCTAAAATATAGAATTGTTATTAATGCTAGAGATTGTTCCTTTTAAACTCTACAGGGGTTTCATAGACAGCATATTTAGTATGTATGATTGTATACTATAAGACACAAAGCCATGATTTGATGGATTCTCATGCAGTGTGATTTGTTAATATATTCATTTTTAACTAGTCCTATAACTTAATTATCTAAAGGGAGACAAATATTCCCTAAAAATAATATTTACATTATATTTTAAGAGTGATTTAGTGACAGGCAAAACTGGGAACTAAAACACTCCTTCATGCCTTATGCCTGAGATAATTTCTATAAAGTTGCAAAGTTTCACAGAGGAATATACTTGGAATCATAACAGTGCATTAAAAAAAATTGTATCAGGGGGCACCTGGGTGGCTCAGTTGGTTAAGTGTCCAACTCTTGATTTCAGTTCAGGTCATGATCTCATAGTTGAGATTGAGCCCCACATCAGGCTCTGCACTAACAGCATGGAGCCTGCTTGGGATTCTCTCTCTCTCCCTCTCTCTGCCCCTCCTGTTCTCTCTAAAA